ATTCGTTATGCTTTTTCCCTCTGAGTACTCTGAGCACAATTTGGTTTATGCCAGAAACTGTAGTCAAAAAAATACATTCAGTCTACAAATTATTTCAATCAGAAAAATACCTCGAGATGGTTAAAAATTGAAAAATTCCCAACACTGCCAAGAACATAATATATTTAGTTGCATTCTTCATTGTTCTTTTAGAACTGTATCGATTCAGATTTAATAATTCTTGGATTCAGATTGCAACATGAAAAGATCACAACGGAGATTCGGATAAAGGAGAATTTTTGTTCCAGTCCAGCTTATACTTTTATAAAATTGCATTTTTCTGATGTCAAACGACCCAATCATCACTGTAGTGCTTTTGCAGCACTCCACTGAGTGGGGAAAAAGTTGATTTAATATGCAATGATATGTCAGAATCGAGGCTGATCTCTGTGTTGGTCTCTGCAGTTCAGTTCTTAAACCAGCCATAGACACGCAATACTCCATGGCACTGTCCTGACCACTCAGCCTGGCTCAGTAATTGGACTTGGCAGTACAACCTGGTCAGAAGGTAAGAGGTTCTTCCCAATGCAAGCCAAAGCCTTTATCATGAGTGTGGTCTCAGTATCAGAAAAAGCAGGAAAATGTGTGGGAGATTGCCAGACATTGTGTTCAATGGCGAGCTCTGCGTGTTTAGATATATTCCAGCTGCGGCCGTATACAGTCTGGATTCCCAAAGCTTTGGCTGCTGCCAATCTGGGCCTAATGCAGTCTTGAATTAAGCGAGGAGTTTGCTATCACCCAGAGTGAGAATAGGCATTCCAGACACAGAGACATTTTCATGTCTATGTAGCATACATACGTGGAAGTCTGTCTAGTTTGGACACACTTAAGCATGGTGATGATGATAATAATAATAATATTAATCAGAAGAAGAGGAAGCAGAAAAAGAGTAGAAGAAAAGAAAAGAAGAATAAGGAAAATAGGAATAATACTACTAATAATAATCATTTCACGTCTTCTAGAAATCTCAAAGTGCTTCACAGAATATACTATTAGGGCTTTGACATACGTCAGACGTTAATGCTCCGCAAATGTGTAAATCCTTCCTGTGAGCAACATGGCTGCTCTATTTGCCTTTAAGTTGAGAGCCACGTGTTACGTGCGACCCGTGGTCTGAGTCAACTTGGCAGGTATTTCCCACCTGCACATCCCTTCGAACAAGAGGATCCGGGCTGCTGTTAGCGCAGTGTTATTCCTAGTGGGAAAAGGCTCAACCCATTTTGTAAATTTTACTAGTGTTCAAAGGCAGCGCTTAAAACTTTTTCCATTGGTAATGGTCCGCTCGAATCCATCTGCCTATGGGTCCAAGGACCATGGGTTGGGTGGTGACAATTTAAAGAACGCTCACTGTCCTCGAGGAGAGGGATTATGCTGCAAACATACAAAATATCGGTGGGTGTGCTGCTCCATGTCGTCTACAAACTACTACATAAAATTAACGGTTACAGAATAGTGACCAGATGTAGGGTTCGTGTGAAATATTATCAATGTTTCCTCTTGCAGGCTTGGGGGGTGCGCAAACAACTGGCATATTGTTTGGGGGCGAGTACATTAAAATTGTTTCAGGAATCCAGTCTTTACTTGTCTCGGATGTCATCGTCAAAGGGGCCCAGTCACAGCCAGCCGGAGGAGTAGATGGTTTGCCTTTTTGAGCAATTATAACACACCAACATACGCGGACCATTACCAATGGAAAAAGTTTTAAGCGCTGCCTTTGAACACTAGTAAAATTTACAAAATGGGTTGAGCCTTTTCCCACTAGGAATAACACTGCGCTAACAGCAGCCCGGATCCTCTTGTTCGAAGGGATGTGCAGATGGAAATACCTGCCAAGTTGACTCAGACCACGGGTCGCACGTAACACGTGGCTCTCAACTTAAAGGCAAATAGAGCAGCCATGTTGCTCACAGGAAGGATTTACACATTTGCGGAGCATTAACGTCTGACGTATGTCAAAGCCCTTATAGTATATTCTGTGAAGCACTTTGAAACATCTAGAAGACGTGATATTTTTATTAGTAGTATTATTATTATTATTATCCTTATTCTTCTTTTCTTTTTCTTCTACTCTTTTTCTGCTTCCTCTTCTTCTGATTAATATTATTATTATTATCATCATCACCATGCTTAAGTGTGTCCAAACTAGATTGGTTTGTTGTCTGTAAAGATCGAGTGTCCAAAGCAGAAGGAACCTTTTCCAACGATGCGACCTCGAGGACCGAGAAAGGGGATGTTTTGCACATCGCAGCAGTTCTGTCCGCATATTTTGCAGCTTTGTCTGCATCCGAGTTCCCATGGGTTTGGAATGCCAATACCTTTGAATGTCCTTTAACTTCTCCCAGGTGCAAATGAGTATTTTGAGAGGGGGTTTCCCAAATCGTTTGCAACAGTGGCTGGTGTTTAAGTGGTGTATCATCAGTCGTCCGGAAGAATTCGACTGATAAGGGGGTAACAGAGGCAGAGTGTTGTCCATCGTACTAGGAGGCAGTCGTACTGTGAAAAAAGTTGCAGTCATTTGTCGCAGCTGAGCTTCCTTGGGGTTAATTTTCAGTGCTGCTGCAACCAGTCGGTTCAGTATTTCGGACAATGTTTGAATGCGAGTGTCGTAGTCAGCAGTTGCAAGTAAAATGGATGCACAAACTGAAACACATAATCAGAATTCACGCCATTTTTTAATAACATCAGCCACTCGTTTGTGAAAGACAGTCGGGGAGTATGGAAGCCTTGGGGTCTGCACATCCAGGTGTGCTGCTGGTTTTTAAATGTGAATGCAAATTTAAACTGAGCCTCATCTCTGATGGGGACAATCCAGAAGTCGTTAGAAATGTCTAACGTGGAGAAAAGAAAGCCGTGTCTTGGTAGAATAGCCAACAGTGTTGGGAATTCACTGATCACTGGGGAACAGGACGGGGGAACTTCATTGAGTTGTCGGTAATCAATTGTTAATCTCCAACTCCCATCCGGTTTTGGTACCGGCCATATGGTCGAGTTGGTGGTGAATGTATCTTCTTGAATGATACCCTGTTGTTTCAGTGAGTTAATAGTATCTTTTTCGCATGGGAGGCTATTCCCGTGGTATAGGTTATTGCTTGCAGGATTTGTCCGTTAATGGTCTCAACAGCAGCTGATTTTGCACACCCATACTTGATCAGAGGCATCACTGGGGGTTTGTCGGCATTAACGAATTCCGGGTTAATCCCTGACGCCTGTGCTATCTGCTTTCTCACATACATTGCGCTCGTTCCCATTTTAAATACATCCGTTGGGAGCCTTCCCTGTAGTTCGGGGTCAATGGCTTTTAGCAGCACCCCGACCTGCTTCAAACTGTCCAGCTCGGGGTGTCGCTACAGGAAAGCAGTCCACTCTCGTCTGAACGCCATGGGATGTTTTTCAGGGGGCATTCTCCCTATATTTATAGCCAGAGTGCTGCAGTCTGTGGCTGATAAAGGCGAGGACTGGCAGTGGGGAACTGGTGGGGTGGGAATAGGACTGTTCCCATTGCTCTGCCTGTGACGGGGAAGCGATGTTGGGAGGATCGGCTTTGGGATTCTGGGGGAGGTGAGGCTTCGGAATTGCTAGAGAGAGGGGACAGAGACCGTGTCCGTCGACATCATACCCCATCCGTTACAAAGAGGGGTCACACTAGATCAGAACTTCCCGGCGTCGCGGTTCAGGGTGCATTAAATCCTGCAGAGGTCAGAAGGGGAGTAGGGCGTTGAGGGCAGGAGGGTTGCGCAGTGGGGGGCAGTGGGTTGGTAAGGTTTTGCTCAGTATGTCTACCTGAAATCTTCGGTTCCCTGGTCTTGGCTGGTGGGGTGTGGGGCCGAAATTAATGGCTCATTCATGGGTTTGGTCTCGGGGAGCGGAGCGTGTGCTCCTGTTACCTCTTTCCTTGGGGCTGAAGGTTGAACTATCTGATGTCTCCGGGGGGGCGTTTTGATCATTGGATCGGTGGCAGCCGACGGGATCTGGATTAGCTGATACAGATACAGACATATAAACACAGCCAGACAGTGACACCAACAGAGACATACCGAGAGAGACAAAGAGAGACAGAGAGGCAGAGAGACACAGAGACAGACACATAGACCCACAGACAGACATAGACAGACAAAGAGATACTGAGTGACACAAAGACAGAGAGATAGAGAGAGACGCACAGAGACAGACAGACACACACGGCATAATGCAAAGTGCGTTACTCAAACCTTTTTTTTTGTTTCAAGTCAATGTTCAAATGTTCAAATGGGTTTAAAGTAAATTATGTGTCTTTATTTGTTGGGTTTGCATCTGTTGTTGTGCTTCAGAGATTTGTTCAGTTTTCCTTTGAATCTTTTATCTCAAATACATTTGTCGCTGAGTTAAACGGAAATTCAGCTGTGTGTGTGTGTGTCTGCGAGTATATCTGTGTATGTCTCTTTGTGTAAGTGTTTATGCGCGCGCTTGTCTGTATGTCTGTAGGTGTGTGTCGGTGTGTGTTGCTGTTTGTGTATGAGTTTCAATTTGTGTCTCTGTGTGTGTGTCTCTGTGTGACTGGGTGTGTATCTATGTGTCTGTGGTGTGTCTCGTGTGTGTGTATGTGTGTGTCTGTATTTATGTCTGTGTTTGTCTCGGAATGTGTATGCCTGTGTGTTTGTGTCCATGACTGGGTTTGTGTGTCTGCATGTGTGTGTCGGTGTGTGTGCTGTGTTTGTGTGTGTATGTGGATGAGACGGTGTCTCTGTGTTCATAATTGCGAATATTATAATATATAGTGATTGTTTGCTTTGTGGGAGAGACTGAAAGAGAGAGAGCCTGAGAGAGAAAGAGAGAGATAGAGACACTGAGAGAGAAAGAGAGAAAGCGAGAAACTGAGAAAGAGAGAGAAAGTAAAGGTAAAAAAAAGAAAGCGTGCAATGGGACAGGAGTGTGTCAGGGTTTATGTGACAATAACGATCCCAAGAGAAGGGATGGGAGAGGAATCAGGATTATCATCTTTAATAATCAATCACTACAGTATCTAGAATACATTTCATGTTACACAGACTGTGTGGACGGTCTCTGACTCAGTCCAAATCTCACTGTCACTGACAGCCCAGATCTGATTCCCCGCAGTGACTGCAGCTGATTCTCCCCGTCTGAACTGAACTTATTCCACCACAGCCTGAAACACATTAAACAGCAATTAAACCCATGGGATAATGATACAAACTGTAAACTTTTCATGTCGCAGTTTAATAAATAAATCCCGTCAAACTGTTCCCATTCTGATACGCAGCCCTTTCTTTGTGTGTTTATCACATTAAACACTGACACGAACACTCACCTGATCCCCTCCAGACTGGTGCAGGTCTGTATGAGGCGGCGGAGAGCGGGGACAGAGCCGTCTGTGAAGGAGTTAGACCCCAGGCCCAGGATCCTCAGTGAGCGGTTTGTACTGAGAGCTGAGACCAGATCATCAGTGCAGCCATCGGTCAGTCTGTTACCCCACAGCCTGGAGATCAGAGACACGGAGACATGACAGGGATAGAGTAAACACAGTGGGTATAACCCACTGTCACTCACTACAGGCCGTCACCCACGGAAGAAAGAGGCGATAGAGGCTAAAACGGATACAGAGATGCAAACGACCCTCAGACAGTCGCTCCCCCAGCGAGGGGGCCTCAGAGTGTTTTCTCACTATCCAGATATAATATGTAATATAATAATAATCCTGACTTTGATACAGTGCCTCATCATGTCTTGGAGACGCCTCAAAGCTTTTGACAGGATATACTGTAAAGTATAGTGCATGTATATTTTTGTATGAAATATTTATTTGCAGGGATTAATAAGCCTGGAGACGCGATCTGCGAATCGTCTAACAACCGGGTTGTGACTGACTGTGAGCCAAATAGACACCAGTGGAGTAAGGAAACATCCGCAAGGTTTTGTTCTGCCAGGAATCACCCCCAGGCCCTCTCGCTTGCGAGGCGAGGGCTCTAACCACTGAGCTACAGGGCTCAGACTGCAGCGTGTGAGCAGACACAGACTAACTCAGGGCTAAAGCTGTGTAGACTTTATTCTGGTTGAGGGTTTTGCACAGGCTTTTTAACTGTAAAAATACCAACAACAAATTACCTCAACAACAAATATTTCCATCCGGGAGCTAAAGCCAGTTGGGAATATGGATGAAATTGTTGACCTGAATGAGGTCAACGTCTCAGGATGAGTGAGGGAGTCCCAACATCATGTATGTCTGAGCAGGACAGGTTGCAGTAGTGAGCGAACACACATACAACACACAGTGAGCGAACACACACACACGCATGTTCACACAATTAAAACAACATACATCCACTTATGTACATATACACATACACACAACAATAAAGTGTCTTAACTCAACCAATCGTTGAACTGGATTCGGATCATTCTAAAGTTGTTGGAGATAGTTGCAAATGTTTCTAACAACAGATATATATACACACACACAGACAGAAAGACTTTAACACAAGTTGAGTGTTTGACGCAAAAGATGGCTTGTGGCCTCACACTGTCACACCGATTCCTGTCACAATATTTAGCCGCACTGATCAGACAGTCACAATAAACACATTGAGATATTGGAGTCATTCAGACTCAGGAGCCACAGTGTGTTACTTACCAGACTCTGTATTTTACACTCCGGGTTCCTCAGAGCCTCACACAGTCGCTTCACTCCACAATCTCCCAGATTATTATCATTCAGGTTCAGCTCCGTCAAAGAATGGTTTGTGCTGAGAGCGGAGACCAGATCCTCGGCACAATCAGCTGTCAAATTGTTACTGTGCAGCCTGGAGATCAGAGACACAGATATATAACAGAGATAAGAGTAAACACAGGGTGTATAACCCACTGTCACTCACAGGTTTTTGATGTCGTACAGGTTGAAGGAGTGCACACACACACACACGCACCGACACAGATACACACTTACTCACACTCGCACAAACAAACACATAACCCTGAAACAAATACACACACACGCAGACACACACATACACACACAGACAGGACCTACAGACACACAAACATGGATACACACAGAAACACACACATACACATATGCACACAAATAAACAAATGCACACATACACACAAACGCTGTCACGCAAACAAGCACACACATACGTACGCAAGCACACACAGAGAAACACATTCAAGCATACACAAACACACACACACAGAAACACACATACAAACACAGACACACAAACATGGATACACACAGAAACACACACATACACATATGCACACAAATAAACAAATGCACACATACACACAAACGCTGTCACGCAAACGCGCACACACAGAGAAACACACTCAAGCATACACAAACACACACACACAGAAACACACACATACGAACACTCACACAAACACACAAGCACACGCAAACACACACACGTAAACAAACACACATACATAAAAAAACAGAAGCACACACATACACAGAAAAACCACAAGAAACAAACAAATGTGCACGAAAACAAATTCACAAACACGCACACACCTGCACACACATTCAAACACACACGAACAGAAACACAAACTCGCATACAAACACACACATAAATAAACATGCACGGATACACACAAAAAATACACACAGGTATACACATACACAAACAAACACATACAGAAACGCAAAAATACTCACAAACACATACGCACAAAATCGCACACGCGCTAAAACACACACTCGAACAAACACAAACGCAAACACACGCACAAACACTCACAGAAGCACATAGAAACAAAATCACACACAAGCACTCATACATAAAAACACACACACAACAAACACATGACCCAAAGACAACTACAGACATACGTACAAACACACACAGAAATGCATATACACACACAAACAAACAAACATATGACCCACAGACAAGCATGCACACACAGACACACACACAAAAACACTCAAGCAAATATACAGGCGCAAAAACTCACACAAGCAGACAAACAGACACACATAAATACACATACTCAAACACACAAACAAACGCATGACCCAGAGACAATATGCACAGACAGAGACACAAACACGCAGACACACATATACACAGAAACACACACACAAATTCACAGACAAACATACACGCAGAAACACAAACGCAAACACAGACTTACTCACACAAACGCACACTCACAGAAACACACAATCACGCGCACACATTAGCTTACCCACGCAAACACATGGGCACGCAAAGACAAACACAGAAACACTCAAAAGCATACACAAGCAAACACACAGGCACACAAACGCACACAAACAAACAGACACACAAACGCACACAATCGCACACAATAACAACAACAGCAAGATTCCACGTATAGGGCGCATTTTACGTCGGGAGGACGTCCCAAAGCGCTGGGCAGTTGGGTCAGGACCCGAGCATTGGGGGGGAAATGGTCAGGGTGAGGGAGGGGAAGGGAGGGAACGAGGAGGGGGGAAGTGGTCAGGGTGAGGGGAGGGGAGGGAGGGGTAGAGGACGGGTAAATGTGGCTTAAGAATATAAAATAGAAGTGCAAAGGCGACAAAGCTCAGTAACTGAAGGCAGAACCCAAACCAATGGGAAGATAAGGTCTGGACGTACAAGGACACAGAAAGTCTGTTCACACTTACAAACTGGACGAAGGGACTAATCAGGAGAGACTAAATGTCGGAGAATTGAAACACATTATGGATATAACCATATAAGGGCTGTTTTTCTTAAAAAAGACAGCTATTGCTGGAGTTATAAAGTTAGCTGTGAACAAAGGTGTGTTAGATATCTCTCGGGAAATGTAGCGGAACAGTGCGAGACACAACCAGGACTGTAACAGGAATCTGGTCGGTACCGTTTTGTGTCTTTTGTATTATTTAATGTTTCACTTATTGTTCTATTACCTTCCGTTTTGAACTGAATAAAGTGACTGAACACAACCAATTGGTAAACTGGAACCGTATCATTTAAACATTGTTGTGGATAGTTGCAAATGTTTCTAACAGACACAGACACAAACACGGGCAAACACACAGACGCACACAAACACGGGCAAACACACAGACTTACACACACATACACAGACACACACACACAGGCAGGCACACGGACACATTTTGAGAGTTTGATGTAAACGATGGCTTGTGGCCTCACACTGTCACACCAATTCCTGTCACAATATTCAGCCGCACTGATCTGACAGTCACAATATACACATTGAGATATTGGAGTCATTCAGACTCTGGAGGCACAGTGTGTTACATACAACAGACTCTGTATTTTACACTCCGGGTTCCTCAGAGCCTCACACAGTCGCTTCACTCCACAATCTCCCAGTTTATTATTATTCAGGTTCAGCTCCGTCAGTGAGTGGTTTGTGCTGAGAGCGGAGGTCAGATCCTCGGTGCAATCGGCTGTCAGGTCGTTCCTGTCCAGCCTGAAGATCAGAGACACAGATAGGTAACAGGAATCAGAGTAAACACAGTGTGTATAACCTACTGTCACTCACAGTTTGTTTGATGCAGAACAGATTGCTGGAGTGTACACCCACACACACGCATGCAGACACGCACAGAGGATACACAGACACACACATACTAATAAACACAAACCGCACACAAATACACACACGAACACATACACACAAACAAAGAATTAACATAGAAAAAAATTCACACACAAAGAAACACAGACCAATAAACTAACACACAAGCACACACGGACAGGAGCACACACATAAATGTACACAACAACAACAACAAGATTCCATTGATGGAGCGCCTTTTACGTCGGGAGGACGTCCCAAGGCGCTGTACAGTTGGGTCAGGACCCGAGGAGGGGGAAATGGTCAGGGTGAGGGGAGGGAAGGGAGGGAGCGAGGAGGGGGTAGAGAGTCGAGAGGGGATCTGAAGACACGGTCAAAGAGAAAGGTCTTGAGACCGGCCTTGAAGGAGGAAAGGGAGGAAGCGGCGAAGGCACTGGGGACGGATTTTCAGAGCCTCGTGGCTGAGAGGCTGAAGGCCTGTCCACCGATGGTTGGGCGGTTGGGTTAGGGTTAGGGTTATACACACACATACAAATACGCATACCCAAACACGCACTTACACAAAAAGAAACACACGTACACACACACAAACGCACGCAAACACAAACACAGATGCACTAACACACAGAGATTCAAACACAGAGAAACGCACACGTACACTAACACACAGAAAAGCACACACTGAAACAAACACACATACACAGACACACAAACAAACACATGACACACACAAAAATGCACACACACAAACACATACACAAACAAATACACAGAAGAACACACAGAGAAGCAAACACCCACAAAAATACACAAACACACACACAACCGAACACACAAGTACAAAGTCATAAATACATACACACAAACACATATACACAAATATTCGCGCACACACAAATACGCACACAAACGCGCACACAGAAACACACAGGC